ATATAGAAATGAAAATTTTTAATAATAAGGGACATTTGAATTATGTTCTCACAAATAATTTAGGGACCCATCTTTAGTGCTGACAATGATTCCCGAATAGTATTACAAGATTAAACTGGAACAAAACATATCAAAACAATAAACAGCACACATAAAAATGTGAAATAATATAATAGAAAGCTATAATATAATCAAAGAAAAACCGGACTAAGTCACATAACTGTTTTGCTTGTCAGATAAATGAATTATATCATATTATAACAAAAACAATAATCGATTATATAATGGTTTCACTACGATTTATTTCTTTTTTTGTTTATTTTATTTTCTTATTGTCAATTATTATTATGTAATAACGGAACTAATTATATAAAAAGAACTATCTTGTTAATAATAAAAAGTCTTTTTTGACCATAATCAATTTCACCTTCCAAAATAAAAACACTTATTATCGTTATGCGAATCTTAGCTTTCATTAGTGACAAACTTGCCAAAAACTGTTACAATATAAATAATTATAAAGAAAACATATAACTGATAGTAAAAGAAAATGAATTTTGTACTTACTTCAACATTGTTATATAACCTAGCCAATATTCACACTTCTTTCACGAAGTATTATCCATAATAAACATGATGTGGCATAATTCAGACCAAAGTAACTGGTTCGCAAGCAGTATTAAAAAAATAAAATGTTAAAATTTTATATCTATAATTTATATATAAATACCAAATGTCTGAAATACTCAAGATTTTTTTAGTTAATATTAAAAGTTTAATATAGATAATAAAAAAAATCCATGTGTTCCAATTTTGATTCAGTATATCTAGCCAAAGAATTTTTTTTAATATATTACAATTTTAAGGAAAAATTAAATGCTAATGATATAAGGATTAAAACTCAACAAGAATTACATATTGACCTTATTTTTGTTTGCTTCTATTAATCAGTTTCATCAACAAGAATATAAGAAAAGCCTATACAAATGCAATTAGCAAAACATAATATACAATAAAATTATCAGATAGTGTTTAAACTATAAAGTTTAATGATTATGTATGAATCTCTATTCATCTACACATATTTAATGTCAATTAAAAGAAGAAGAGAGTGAGTAAGTAAGTAAAAGTAAATTTCTAAATGCCAGGTTTGAAGAGTTTGATGAATCCAAATACATATGCCCTTGGACTAAGCTCTCAGAGATAAAAGGCTTTGGCAATCCAACTTTGTATTGAAACCTAAGATTGGTTGTTTTTTATCTTAATACAGGCAAACATTCAAATAGTATTAAGTAAAAAGAAGTCATTACTTACAAACCACAACCATCTCAAAAATTTGTAGGTGTTGTTAGATATAATCAATTTTAATCTAGAAGTGGCACCATTCAAAACCAGACCATAGGCAAGAGCCAGTCCTTTGACAGCTAATTCCAGTTTTTCCTTTGATAAAACTGAAGATGAAAAGCAATCTACCGAAAAAAAAAATTATGATTAAAATGTGAAACATTTTTATGATTGAAAAAAATGATTACAAAGAATTTCAATCATACCCATCACCCACATTGCCATATAGCACAGTAGAACAATTAAATAGACTTTGTAGAATGGAGCTTGGTATGTATAAAACAATATTAATTCCAACAAATACATAAGTGATGTCAATAAAATTCATGAAATGTTGGCAACAACTTTAGCAAGAAAGTATAGAACAGTTTTCATTTCCACTGCCATATCATGCAAATACATGACTCTCTCGTATCCAAATGTTACTATTCCGGCTATTCGAAGAAAAAAAAAAGATGATTGATTGGAAAAAGAGAAACCTTTCATTTTGGATATCCTCTTTAACATACCATTGATCCCACAGAAGGTGATATCCAGTACCATAAATACTGAAATATTCTAAAATAATTTTGATTGACCTATTTGTTTATAAAAAGAAGGGATATGAACACAAAGACAAATATTTAATTACCTGAAGTCCATTTGCCAGTAAAAGTCAAGAAGGCAGAACTATGAATGAAGTTACACTGCAGAGATCTTGAGGCACTTTTTCAATATAATCCTAATTACTTATTGCAAATGAAATAAACAGACTGGCCACAAAATGTATGAATTGATCATACATGAAATATACATGTGGTAGAAATTGGTAGATCCTTGACGCAATTGACGCAATTATTTGACGCAATTAATTGAGTCACT